TATATATATATATATATGTATAACTATAAATAATGGACTAAATTATTACATTTACAGAAAACCATATTTGGAAAATGTTAGTAATATAGAAACTATTAAATTTCAAGAAGATTGTGAATATTTTATTATGTATTACTTAATTTTCTGAAAGAAATAGAGCTTTTTCTTTTTCAAATACTGTTCAACATTAGGACCATGGTTATAGGTAAGTTATAGGAGAAATATTCATATTTAGTTTACATTTCATCTGATTCTTATTTTACAGTAGCTGTTAACTCATCTTAAAATATACCATTTCTAAGTCCGGAAACAATTTTAGGAACTTATGACTAAAGTTTTTACACTGTAAAGAAACTACCAACTAAAATGTCAAAAATATTATATATAACATTTACTATAAATTTGTAAGGCAATATATATTATCACCATTCATGTCTTTGAATTCTTTGGACTACAGTACCCTATTAAATAGTACCTTTTTGATGTTGTGTACCTTCGGAACTTTTCCGGTCATACCCCAAAACCAGCATGACATTTTTAAGGCTTCCTTTACCAAAACAAAATACAATTGTGTTAAAATAGTCTTTTTTGGAGGGGGTACAGTTATTCACATTTTAAGACACAGATACTCTGAAATTACAATAATATTTTAGGAGACATTTTAATTGTATTCAATAAACTCTACAATAAGATTATCAAGTTTTTTTAAGAAAAATATATCTATTTCTTCCAGCCAAATATGTGACTGAGAAAACAACCTTTCTGTAAAATAGATTTATTATTTGTGTATTACTTCCCCCAATTATACTACTAACCAAAACAATGTGTATGCAAGTGCTTGGACACTCTAAGGCACAGATTGAAGAATTTGGATGGACACTTGCAGAGATGGATACACTGATACTCACAACACTATGTTTTCCACTTCACTTATTTACTAATTTATCTGATAAATATTAATTCAGAAAATTTCCCCTACTAGGCCTAGAGCTGGTACTGGAATAAAGGTTTAAGCCAACGCATGCAGAGCCAACCCACGTGGAGTTTATGTTCTAGTGAAGGTATTGACATTAATGAAAAATCATGACTATGATCAAGAATATGACAGGAGAGCCAGAAAAGCAAAGTCTGATTCAACCAGTGTTGGTTTCTCTGAGGTTTTGATACATGAGCTGCCCTTAAAAAATGTGCATAGCTAACTAAGCAAAAAGGTAGACTAAGTTAGCTAAGCAAAGAAACAGCACGTGCACATCCCTTCGGCAGGATAAAGCACAGTGATTAATGGAGAGAATGCTCATCTAGAGGGAAAGGTCTGAGAGTAACATGGTACTGGGTGGGGACTAGGGAGCTAGGAGCTTATGTCTAAATGCTTACATGCTCTATTCAAAATAAATCAAAATCCCTTGAAACATCACTATAATATTAGTTTTGAACAACCATGGGGGCATGCACAAGTTAAATTAGAGAATTAACAAAGTTGATAGATGATTACTAATGAGACCTACCATGCTACCTGTGAGGACTCACAGCCTAACCATCAATCACCCGAGTGTCTATTTCGAACTCCTGTGTAACTCTGATACCCATAAATGACACACGAGTGGGGGTGCCAGAGCCATACCTCTCCCTATTTAATACAGCCTCACAAAATAAATCCATTTTCTTCACCATGGTCAAGCACTTCACAACTCATCTGCTGCAGTTACATACACTCTAGTTTTGCAGAACTACAGTGTTATTTTTGTGATCCATTTTGCATATACATATGTGGTATTTTTTTAAATCAAAGTATTAATCAAAGAAAGACAATGAAATACACTTTTTTAGAAAATATTTCATATGCTATCTTGATTACATTCAAATAGAAAATCAGGAGCAAAAATAGGCATCAAATACTTGAGGAAAACTTATGATTTGTCAATATTTGTAGATTGTTCAGTTCAGCATGGATTGCCACAAGCATAAAAATTTGTTATAGAATGAAAACTCAAACAGGATTCTTTAACAAGGGTGGGAAACTTAAACTATTACCAAAATAAATATTTGCTTTAATTTCCTCAATGAAAAAGTGAAATAGACTCAACACTATGTGTTTTCTATGTTGGCCCTACATATAATAAAGAACAAAAGAAACCAAGACTTGAACTGAAATGCTCAGCTGGTGTTGCCTGCTTTGCCCGTGAGACTCAGAGCATCTATTCCCTCCATTTTTCTACTTGAGGCAATTGAAAATTTATTGAGAATTTATCCTAGTCCTATGCTGCATTACGTGAAATTCCAAGACACACCTATGACATTTCAGATGAAGAGAACATTTCTTTTTTTTTCTAAAAGGCATATTTTATAGTCTTAATGGAAAGAAACTTGCCTAATTGTGCTGTCATCATGACTCTCACGGAATCACAAAAGTTGTAAATTATACGTATGATTCGACGAGTGGAAAGATCCAGGAGTAAAATGTGGCCTCCTCCAGTTCCTATCCAGAGAGCAGTGTTCTTCTGAAGGCACAGAGTTTTCACTCTCCCAGAATAGGACATTTTGTGTTTTGATTCCTTGTTGACTTTTACTGTTACTCCCCTAAAACCATAAAGTATGCATTAATAATTTTCAGGGACAAGGGGAAAAAATGAGAACCAAGACCTGTCATGTAAAGGTACAAGATCCCAATGATGAATGTACCCGTACTGTATACCTAAAATGTACCAATAAATTCAATGAGGAAAAAAAAAACATAAAAATAAATAAATAAATAATTCAGAGATAAAACAGATTTGTCTGTACCTATATATATCTATATATCTATATATAGATATATATAGATATATAGATGTGTCATAATATTACACACGCATAAATGTATTAACATTTCAACTATGGATACATGACAACATTGTCATTCGCTGATATCTCTGGGGAACTGGTTTCTCCACAGCAGTTACCAAAATCACAGGTTCTCGGCTCCTTATAAAAATTGATATAGTATTTGCATGTGAGTTATGCACATCCCTCTATAAACTTTAAATTATCTCTTTATAAAAATTGATATAGTATTTGCATGTGAGTTATGCACATCCCTCTATAAACTTTAAATTATTAAATTTAGATTATTTTTTGTTGAGTTTATTGGTACTTTTTAAGTATACAGTACAGTTACATTCATCATTGGGATCTTGTACCTTTCCAACAGATCTTGGTTCTCACTTTCTAGATTATTTACAATACCTAATATAATGTACATGCTCTACAAGTAGTAGTTATACTGTATTGTTTACAGAATAATGACAAGAAAATGTACACATTTGGTGCAGATGCAAATGGGCCTAACATTTTGATCCTATGTTGGTTGAAAATACCAATGCAGATCCCAAGAACCCACAGAAGACTGACTGTCTGTATTACATACTACTAAACTGTACCACACTAACTTTGCTAAATACAGAATGTCTAAAAAAGCCTATTTCTCAATGTAAAACATAAGTTATCAAAGATAACACAATGGTAATCTCTCAATTCCAAGAAATTCTAAAATAAGATGGATACAAGTTTATAAATAACTAAGCTATTTAATCCAGTAAAAAATTGAATAATTTTGTTCAATATTTAAAAAGTTAATTTCAAAAGCTCCCTCACGATCTCAAAGTTACAAGGCAAAATAAAAACGTGTAAAAGATAGCGATACAAACCACTGAATTTTTCCTGTGAGCCACTGAATAGTCTAGTAAAATGAGCTGTCCAGAATTAAAAGAATCCTAGGAATTTTGGAACTTTAGTAACTAAGAGACTGTCAGCCAAGCAAAACTGTCAGCCTGTCTGGGCATAACTGTTCTCAGCATTCAGAGGAGAAAAGCAAAGACGATGTAAGAAAGTAGGTTCTGAAGCCCCGTTTTATGGATCTAATGTGTAATCTATCCATATTTTTGTAATATTTTTTGACATCTGGCTTGACAAGTATCCTTTTGCTCAGTTATTTACAAGTAGTAATATAAGGTACTATGACACTACTGGATATAGAGCAAGCAATGAATCCATATGGTTGCTTCTAATAATGACTGTTTTTTCACTAGTGAATATTCCTTGTTCTACCACAAAGAAACCAATTATATTCTTTCCCTGTTCTTTTATATTTCCCAAATGAAATGTGCTGGATATTGACACAGGGTGTTGACAAGCATTAATAACTTTGTTTCTGCAGTATTATTCTTTTAAAATTTCTATTTAGAGACAGAAAGGGAGAAAAGCCACCATTTCTCCTTCTGTGAAACCTGAAATGTAAGGACAGCTGTTACAGGTAAAAATCAAGCAGTGCCTTTACTTTAATAACTGCACACAGTCTATTAGTTCGCAGAGTTTTTCAGTTTTCTTGTCCCACACTTCCACAACAGGGCTATTTTTCTTAGCAACATAGAGAGCTGTGTCTACCACCACTGCTATGATGTTGGAATCACTGAACGTTGCATAAGAAAACCTAGGAGGGAAAAAAAGAGTGTCAAAAAAAGATCGGCAATGCAGCTTTACATAAGTTCTTAGGTGTATGAAAAGTTAATGCTATTTAGAAAAATACAGAAGCTAGACTATTACGCTTATTTCTTATTCTACTTTCAACATTCTGAATTAGATCTATAATTTACTGTGCTACTTTACTTACTTTGGGTTACCTTCCATTGGTTTCCCTTAACTAAGAAACAAACAGAATAAATAAATAACATTTATTTCTGGGGTTAGTTTTAATTTCAGTTCTACATGGTTTTTTTTCCTCATTGAGTTTATTGGTACATTTTAGGTGTACAATACAGTTACATTCGTTATTGGGATCTTGTACCTTTACATGACAGGTCTTGGTTCTCATTTTTTCCCTTGTCCCTACACTCCCTTCACACCCTCCTTCCCTCTCCTTTTACAAACATTTTATTTCCTTTTTTTCATTTTCTCCTATTTGTTTCCTTTCCCTTATTACCTTTCCCCTACTCTTCCCATTTTCCCTACACCTTTAGCCCTTTTCTTCCTATTTCACATTGTCAATTATCTCATTAGGATCTTATGTACTATTATAGTTTTTCACACCAGAGAAACTATTTGGTATTTACACATGTGTGACTTATTTCACTTAGGAGTATACCCTCAATATGTATCCATTTTCCTATGAATGAATCTAATTTCTCATTCTTTATGGCTGAGTAGTATTCCATTTTATAGAAAAACCACATCTTCTTTATCCAGTTTCCAACTGATGGGCAAATGGCCTGTTTCCAAGTTTTAGCTATTACAAACTGTGCTGCTATAAACATAGGTGGGCATATATCATTGTGATATGATTTTTTTAATTCTTTTGGAAAGATACCCAGCAGAGGGATGGCTGGGTCAAATGGAACCTCTAGTCCCAGCTCTTTGAGGTATCTCCATATTGATTTCCATAGTGGTTGCACCAGTCTGCACTCCAACCAACAATGGAGAAGGGTTCCTTTCTCCCCACAACCCCACCAACATTTGTTATTGTGTGACAAAGGACTATTATCTAGAATATGTAAAGAACTCAAAACAATCAGCCCCCCAAATATAAGGACCTGATTCAAAAATTAGCATCTGAAATGAACAGACATTTCTCAGACAAAGAAGTAATAGCAGCAAGTAAATATATAAAAAAAGTTCCACATCACCGGTCATTCGAGAGATGCAGATGAAAACAACACTGAGATTACACCTCACCCCACAAAGAATGGCTGCTATCAAGAAATCTTTCTGGTTCTTTACAGAATTTTGTACTGAATTTAACTTCTAAAAGAAATGTTATCCTAATCGCTGTAACTTTTCGATGTTGCAATAAAACCCTTGTTATGAATGCTGGGAAAACTAGGGTTAGCGATGTACATATACAGTTATAAAACACACAAATTTTGAAATAAATTTTAGTGGCAGTGTCTTCAAATGCGAAAAGCAAAGGACATCCTTGCATCGATATACACCAACCAAGTTAGGAAAAATGACATACATTGCCAAAACATAAATAGAAAGTAAATTATTTGCCATTTCTATCCTTTGAAAATGAAGAAAAATGATGAGCATTTTAAAATATTTCTCTTCCAACCTAAGCCATGTGGCCTATGTGCACATATTTCACAGACTGGTGGCCACGGGCCCCATCTGTACAACAAGCTCTAAGTGTAAGTAAGGGTCACCCTTCACATCTCAACCCAAATGTCAGATGTTCTGTAATTCTTGCCTGATCTATCTAAATAGACCAAACATTTCCTTTCCCCCACTGATGTGGCTGTGATTTCATAGTCCTTACTAACATTGACTTTTATCTATGAGTGTGTCCTTCGTACTGGACTGCAAATGTAATCTCTTAATGAAAAATTCTGTGCCTTTTCGATATGCCCACGGTCAGTAAAGAGCCATCAGGGTAAGTACCCCTGATGTTCCATGCAGTGTGTTGAGTGGGTGGACAGAAGGATAGATGGATGAAGAGTGAACTAACATGATGCATGAACAGCCAGAGAAAAGTAAAAGTGGATACAATTGCAATTGCATCAGACAGATGATATAAAAACTCCACAGGAACCTAACGATTACAACTACATCCTAGGAGAGGAAGATGTTATTTCTCCGTTTTTTTTTCCTATTCTGCTAAGGGAGATGAAAATATGATGTGCTTCTTGAGAACCACTACACTGTGTAGTTCTTTTCTGTTTGCTGTATTTACTAGGAGACAGTTCCAATCATTAGCAAACAAAGTTTCCCATCGAGTTATAGAATTTATAAAATATCTTTGTGTGTTATCTTCTTTGATCCGTAATAATAAATTCAGTATTGACTGTTTATAGTAGAGAGAAAGGTTTACAAATGCGAAATAATTTGCCCAAAGCCACACAAGCAGATCGCACACTCGGAACTCAAACTATGACTGGCAGCATCTCCTGGCTCTAAAGACAGCCAGCTTTCACTGCTCACTTTGCCGCTCGGTCCCTGTAGGGATGGTGATAAACACAAGCAGGATGACCATGTGGCCCCGTGGGTGCCATGGTGACTGATTAATGCGGAAGAGACGGAGGCAGCAGGGAACACATTTCAGAAGAAAGCAAGTATCTCCAAGTGTTAACGTTACTGTCTCATCTCCCTTAGGAGATGAACACCTTTGAAGGCCTAGTACAGTGGTGCCTTGGTTCATGACTGAGTTGGATGAGAACCAAATCCAGTTCATTGCTTAGGCTTCATATCAACCTTACGGGGAAATTGGCTTAGGTTTTTGTCCAGTTCGGTTTGCAACCAGAATGGTGGAGAGAATTGAGTTCATGAACCCAGGCACCATGGTATTTATAGCTATGCTCTAGGAAAGTACCTGTACTCCGAAGCTCACAAAGTTTATTGATTCATGCCCATGACCCATAAAATGACTCCCATAACTGAGATAAAAGTGAAAATTACAGAATGAGAACGGGGATCACCCAGGCATTTTCCACTTGTTAGTAAACAAATCTATGAAGCAGGCACAAAATTAAAATTCTCAGCCGCAAGGACTCACAATGTATCACAGTCTACCTTAACCGTGACTTGAGAATCACCATCAAGCTCGGGGTGGGGAAAATCCTGAAGCCTGGGCCCCCTCTCAGGCCTCCCTGGTCTAAGGTGTGTCTGGGCATGAGATTCTTCTCAGCTACCTTGTGGTTTCTCATGCAGAGCTAACACTGAGAATCAATAGGTTAAGTAGTATTAAGAAACTAATTTTAGATACAATTATGAAAAGATGATTGCTTATGCAAAAGCAACAGTAGATGCACAGAAGCACAACTACAAGGCCCCTAACTGGCAGGCTGGATTAGGGACAGCACTCAGAGGAAGGAGGGTCTGGAAAGAAATAGGCTAGAGCACACAGGCCATCCAAAGAGAAAAACCGTATCTGAAGCAGCAGATTCGTCTTGGTAACTGATGAGGTAGGATGGAAAGACATAAAAGATAGGTGAAGCAAATTAAAACTGTAATTAAGAAAACTATGTTTTCCCCTGTCTGTAAAATGGGCCCTTCCTTGCCTTTCACTTATAAAATGACTTCCTGAGGTTGGAAATCTGTGGAACTGGTGAATCTATAGAAATCCTGAGGGGTTCAATTTACAGGGGAAAGACAAGAACCCATTTTATAACTGAAAGTCATAATACTCCCAGCCATGATGCATCTCAGTCTGTAAGTGCTTGTATTCCCTTCTGAGTGGACTTCTTTCTACCTAATAAATCTCCGTGCCTTTCTCTGACACATCCTGAAATTTCAGTTTGGTTAAAGTGCAGAGGGAAGGGAAGAGGCAAAATATTAACTTAGAGGCAAACAAGGATGGAATCATGAAGAGACTGATAGGCTGCCTTGGGAAGGCGGGCTTCACGCTGACGATGTAGGCCACCATTGGGAACTCTTACAAGAGAGCCCCCCGGCAATGTGATGATGGTTGTAGTGCCAGCTCTGAGAGTCAAGTGGAAAAAGGGGGCAAAGGACAAAGGAGTCTAGAATACTCCCACATTTCGATCTTGAGCACTTAGATGGTAACCTTGAGCAATTACATGTAGTTATACATTACAATTGTCCCTGACATTGAGATTTGGGAGCCGAAGCTAGTAACGATCACAATAATAGTTAAAATTTATTGAGAGCTTACTAGGTATTATGTTAAGCTACTGATACTAATTTTCTCACTTAATCTTGAAAATATCCCTTTGAGTTACAGTAGTACAGTAGTACATCATAATCTTGAAGAGAGGACTGAGATTTAAAAGATTCTTATCCATGTTGGCAAAGTCAATGCCAATGTTTGAACGGTAATGCATGCTCTCATCCACCATTCTGTACTGCTTATCTCTGAGGAACAGAATGAAAAAAACCCAACTGCATTTAGCTAAAATACAATTTAAAATGAGAACAATAAATGAGAAGCATGTTTTATTTCATTCTGGTTTGAAACTGGTATTACTAACTTGGTTTAAATTTCGATAATTAGTTACCAACCTAGAAACAACTTTATTCCTGCAGTCTATTTTCTACAATCCATCTTTAATGGGATTATCTAAAACTGCACATATAAAATGATGGTTCAGGAAAGTTGATTGCCTATAGATTCCAACGGTCTAATTCGAAACAGAGATTGTGAAATGGTTGAAATTTTAGATTGATAAATGCCCCTGGGATTATAATGTTTACATATTTTACTCTGAAACTGGTTAGGCTAGGTGATGTTTCTTTTTTTAATGTTCCTTTGCATTCTGGAATTTTCTACATTTTTCTATAATAAATGTTTAATTTCATAATAGAAAAAATTATGCATTTTAAATGATCTCCATTATGAAATAAAAGTATTATTGATGTGGCTATAAGGGATAAGCTCAGATAAATGATAAATTGACTGCATAGAAAGAAATCACTTACAGCTGATTTGTCCTTGTCTCAATCAGTTTCTGAATCGTGAAGTCATTAGAAAATGAGAAAATCTTTGTGCCACATCCTCCCCACGTGATATTCCTCTCACTGGTGTTCATGGATTCGCTCAAACACATCAGTGGGGTTCTGACATCCCCTATATGTAGCGTCTTCAGAGGTGCAGCTCCTTTACACTTTTGCCATACAGAGAAAACATTCAATAAATTCCATGTCTGTGGAATAATGCACTATACAATTTTTTCTCTCTAAAACTACTTTCCATTGCATATGACTAGAGATAATAAAATTAAAATTCAGACCCACTTTGCAAAGTTCCTATAAAATAGGATTCAATTAACTGGAATTCAAAACATTATCTTTGTAGCCAATTTCTTCATTTCATGCATAAGAAATAATTTAGGGACTACTCTTCACACATATCAAGGAATATGAACGAATGGGTAGGAAACTGAATGAAAAGATGGAACCAGAAACCAATAGATGAACAAATGAACACTTTAACAACTAAATGAGAATTTAAAGAACAGAAAGTTAAATAATTAGTGGTAAACAAAAAGTTAAAAGAAGGCCAGGCTTAGTTTTCCTGTCCTTCTTGTGTGGACAGAAGAATCTAGGGAGTGTGTGTGTGTGTGTGTGTGTGTGTGTGTGTGTGTGTAAGCGCATACGCGCGCACTGCAGACTGAATCCAGGGTCTTGTACATACTCAGCATGATTACCGAGCTACCCCTCTAGCTACAAGCTAAAGTATCCTTATTTTTTTCCACAATATATTTATAAGGAATTATTACTACACTCATATAAATTATTTTCATTCTCAACATTACAAATCAGATATCACTTATCGGGTTACCCTTAGAGCATTCATATAAAATATATAATCAGCAAATGTTCTCAGAGGGTCTACTTTCTGCAAGACCTGTAATCCCAGTACTTGGGAGGCTAAGGCAGGAGGACTGCCATGTGTTCAAGGCCAGTTTAGTTTAACATAGTGAGTTCAAGGCCAGTCTGGACTACACAGTGAGACTTTGTGTCAAAAAAAAAAACCAAACAAACAAAAAACTAAACTAAAAGAAAAATAAAATAAAACCAATTTGTTATACAATGCAGTCAACATTTACCTTAACATTTTTATCTTCAAAAATCGCTAAATTGCCATCAGCAGTTCCCACCAAAAGAAAATTATTTGGCTTGCTAAAAGAAAAATGTCAAAACTGTTACAAAAAAAAGAACATGTATCTTGGCTAAGACAACCTTAAATTTCTTCCCAGCTTGACTAAAATTTTAGAAAAATTCCTTCAGACCATAGACTCCTCACCTCCCTTTCCTTAGAGTATTTACTTTAGAAAACTTGGAGTTAGAAATTCTTTCTCTGGGTCTTTGAGATGTAAATCCTTTCCCAGCCTCTTGTCAGGTTTTTAACACACTAGTCTTTCCCAAAGACCTGTGAGCCACCTCTCTGTGATGTATTCATTAGGAGAGCTGCACCCCAACATTTCTCTATCTCTGTAACAAGGGACACATAGCCAGAACAGGTGGCCTAATCACATTAGCACCCACCACTACCTACAATACTCTCTAATACTTTTCCACAACTGTAGCTCATCTCTGTGCTTAAAATTTTTTGACTTTTTGTTTCAGAGGAGTCCAACTTTTCTCCTATTGTCATAATCTCCAATAGTCTTCCTTGCCTGTTTAACACCATCCAATGACATTTTTCTTTAACGATATCCACATAATTTCAACTCCCAAGTTAACTATGGAATTTATATCTCAGGTACCAAAATGTTAGCCTTCACATTTTTCTGGTACTTTTCTTCTACTACTCACCTCCACCAGAGAAGAATCTAGGGTATGAGCTAAACAGTTCCTAGAAATTATCCCATCCCAAATATTACAGCAACCAACTGATAACTCACAACTAAAATTCTACCACTTAGATATACTTCACAGGCATAAGATCCCTATAAATGATAAATGTTATATCATTTCACCTATTAACAATTTATTAATTTATTACATTCTTCTCCAGTTTGGTAGTTAGATAACCGTTATGTGTAAGGCTGGTACCTAATAGGCTGATGATTTCTAAATGTACTCAAAGGATAGATGAAAATTCAACTGCGTAGAGGCCTTACCAACCCACAGTGACAACAGGAGAAGCAGAGTTAGAGTCACAGCTGAGCTGAGAGCCTGTAGAAATGGTTGACTTATTTTATGACTGCCTCAGTTTAAATCTGTATACAAAAAACTATAAGGTAGAATTGCAGTGTCTCCTAATTTCCCAATTTCCCTTCATGTGTGCAAAACAGTGAAAATAGGCTAAGCAATCTTTTCAGATGCAGTAACAATTATGTACACAATTAAGTCATCTAAAGGACATATAATTTCCCTAAACTTATTGCAAACTTACTTTTGCTTGGAGAAAGAATTGTAATACAGGCAAGTAACAGAATCTGTCATCTTTTCAAGAGTGTGTCTCTTTGCCCCATCGTCAGCATTGATGACCAGGAGAGAACCCGACTGCGTCCCAGACACAACCCAGCTCTCCTTCTCGTTAGGAAGAGTCACCACAGCCAAGCACAGTATTCTGCTATCAGTCACCTCCTTGTAAGAGAAGAAAATACACTCCAGAGGACTTGGCTTATGCTCCTGGAACTCATTCTGTTACCAACATACTTAACTCCTTTTCACTTTTGTGCACTTACTTTTTCTTTCTCATTGAGTTTATTGGTATATTTTAGGTATACAGTACATTTACATTCATCATTGGGATCTTGTACCTTTACATGACAGGTCTTGGTTCTCATTTTTCCCCCTTGTCCCTGCCCTCCTGCATTTACTTTTATTTATTTATTTTATTTTTTTATTTTTTTTTTGGTACCAGGTATTGAACTCGGGTCCTTGCGCTTGCAAGGCAGGCCACCAAACCACTGAGCTAAATCCCCGGCGTCTGCATTTACTTTTAAAAACAATGCCATCCCATTGAGTTTTCAACAACAAATGGGTAAACTGGCAAACAGCCTTCATCAATCTTGAACGCATCTGAAACTAAAATTAGAAACTGAAATTTATTTTTCAGTATCAAGTCTTATTCCATGAAACCATGTGGAAGTCTTAAGCATAATTTTAGGTACAATATTTGTTTCAAGGCAACAGTCAGAATGTCAGGTTACTTTTTAATTCTAGCAATTTATTGACTGATCCCTCTAGTAGGGGCCACGCCCGGACCGCTTTTATATCAGGTATCAGATACATCCATACCCCCACTGCTGTTCCAGACAGCTCAGAGCTACACTCTTCACACAGAAGGCTCCTCGATGATGGGCAATGACTG